CACCACCACCACCACCATCACAATATTAAACATAAGTTGAAAAGTGGAAAAATATATTGAAAGAGTTTTAAAGGCGATGCGGGGGCGGGGGAGCGGTGCGGGGGAGCGGGGGCGGTTGTGAAAGTTTCCAGATGCCCTTTTTAACAATTTTTCTTTTTTTCCCTTTTTTTCTCTTTTTTTTTCCTTTTTTTTCCTTTTTTCCTTTTACCCTACTACGCTTTTGTTTTTCATGGATTTAAATATATTAAAATTCTTATTATTATTATTATTACTAACTCGCTTTTCTTTTTTTTTTTTTTTTCTGTACAAAAATTTCAATATTTAAAATTAAATTAATTTTTATTTTTGTGGGGGGAAAGAGAAGGAGGGGATCGTAATTACAAAGCATGAAAATTTTTTATTATTTTCTTTTCTATTATTTACTTTTCTTTTACTTTTCAACAATTGGGGGGAAGATGCGGGGAAGTAGGAAACAAAGAGAAAATTTATTAAATTTTTTACTTTTTCTTTTAATTCAAATAAAAAATTTGAATTAATTATTATTATTATTATTATTCTCTTTTTTGTAAAAAAAATAAAATTAATAAAAACGAAAGAGATAATAAAAATATATATATATAAATAAATTCGTATCGATTTAATATAAAAATTATTATTATTATTACATACCTATAATGTTTACATCTCCCTCTCTCTCTCTCTCTCTCTCTCTTTTACCTTTTTTCGATAATTTGAAAAAACCTTTTTTAGTGAAAGGAATACGGGGGAAAAAAAAGTTAAAATTCCAGTAAAAAATTTTATTTTATTTATTAATAAAAATTCATTCATAATTTTTTTTTTTTTTTTTTTAAATTTACCCCCTAAAGTGAAATCGATATACATAAATTTTTTTTTTTTTTTTTATCATGTTGGTATCGTGTTTTTATCAACTGTTGATTTGTGATTTTTCCCTGTTACCTTTTTTAAATTTTATTAAAAAAAAAAAAAAAAAAAAAAAAAAAAAGGAAAAAAGAAGGAAAATTTCGTCCGTTATATTATTTCGTATATAATTCACGTATGTAAATTTTTTTTTCTTTCCTTTTTTTTCCTTCCTTTTTTTCCTTTTTTTCCTTCCTTTTTATATTAAATTTACGTTATTTAATTTGTCAAAAAAAAAAAAATTTAAATTTTTTTCTCGTCACCATTTCCTTTCGACAAATACTTTTTTGAACCTTTTTAAAAGAAAATTTTTTTTTTTTTTCCATCCCCCCATCTTGAATTTTAAGTGATTTTTACGTAGGGAAAAAAATAAAAATGTCGTAATGTTTCAACAATTTTTTTATTTTGATTTAATGAATCGGTTAAAAAGGTTTAAGTGGAATTTAAAAGTGGGGAGGGAAGGGAAGGGAAGGGGAGGAAATGAAAATCATAAACGGAAAATAAAAAAAAGAAAAAAATTTAGTTAAATTTAGTTTTTTTGTTAGATGCGGAACTAAAAACCATGATGATAAAAATGAAAATCGATATTTGAGGTGAAACAAGAGCTTTTCATTCCCCTCCCCCTTTCCGTTCCCCTTCATCCCCCCCTTTTCGTCTTTCCTTCAACCTTAATCTACTACCATTCTTTTCTATAGTCCTCCAATTTATCGTCTTCGTCGTCTGCTTTCTTATTTTTTTGTTTATTTAAATTAATAAATTTATTCACAAATTAATAATAATAATAATAATAATAATAATAAATCCATAGCAGAAGATAAATTTAAAATTTTTGAATGATTTGATTTTTTTTAAAAACGTGGAAAAAATTCCAATATCGAGTGTCACATATATTAAAATCCAAATAATAATAATAATAAAATTGAATGATCGTTAAAATAAAAAAAAAAAATTATTGAAATTCTAAGAGGAATTCCCACTCATCCTCCATTCCTTTGAAAAGTGAATCCCACGCCCCCCCACTCTTCCCTTTTTTTTATATAAATAAAATAAATATTTTACTCGCATGAGGGGAAAAAGTTTTTTTTTTATGAATAATTTTTTTTATTTTGTCTTCTGCTATTTTTTTTTTAAATTTTATAAACGTGAATTTTATACGATCTGGAAACGTAATCCGCCATTTTTCTTTTCTTTTCTTTTTTTAATCATTTATTTATTTATTTGTTTTATTTGATTTTAGGTCGTTGCGGAAGGGGAAGTCCCTGCGATCAACTTTGTTACGAACTTCATGATGGAATGTTCGAATGCGATTGTAAAGATGGCTACATCCTCCACAAAAACGGTTACAGCTGTCTCGGTAAGTTTTTCTTTTGTTTGTTATTGTTGTCTACGACAAAAACAATAATAATTTTTTATCCTTTATTATTATTATTATTTCATGGATTTATTTAAATAAACAAAAACCTTTCGAAAAAGAAAATTATTTCAATTTTTTTTCTCCTGGTTGTTGTTGTTGTTAAGTAAATTAAATGTCGAGTGGAAAAAACAGTTGCTCAAGTAAATTTTTCACAAAGTCAAAAATCGATTTATGACGTCATATTTTCAAAACTACGATAAATAAGTACTAAAAAAGGAGAGAGAGAGAGAGAGAGAAAGGGAAAGAAAATTTCTACTTGAAAAAAAGAGCCGGGGAGAAGGAAAAAAGTAAAGGAAAATTTAATTTTTTTTTTTTTTTTTACGTTTTTCAAACAGGAAATTTTTTTTTTCCCCTTCTCCTCCTACTACTACCCGGCATTTTCTTTTTTTTTCTTGTTTTTATTTATCGTTTGTTAATCTTGAAAAAATAAATAAATAATTTTTGTTTGTTTATTTACTCGTAGAAATGAATACGACAGCGGAAACATATATAAAAGATGAAGAAGACGAAGATATTTTATACCAAAAAGATGCATCCATATCCGTTGAACTCGACACCGGAAATTCAGATAATTATGAATATGGTATTAATAATAATGATGATGAAAGAGGAAGCGGGTCTAGGAATACATTATTATTATTATTGACAACAACGTTAAGTCCCAATTTAGAACAAAAAGTACCCGTGAGAACGAAATCACCGGGGATAACAGAAAGTATAAAACCTACAACGTCAACTCCTTGCACGTTGGATTGTGGTGGTGGTGGTTCCGGGGGTGGTGGTACCGGCGGTGGTGGTATTTGTATATTAGATGAAGAAGAACAAAGATGTCAGTGTCCTTTAGGAACTGGAGGAATTAATTGCGATTTAGGTATAAAATTCATTTTATCCCTTTTTTCCTTATTTATTTTAATTACGCGTCACAAAAAAAAAATTTAGGATACGCCGCCGCCCGCCATTTTTTTTTTTTTTCCTTCAACGAATTGACATTAAAATTATTATTATTATTATTATTATTTATTAATTCCCTCGCACGCTTTTTTTTTTTATTTAAATTAATAAATAAAAAACGAAACGTTTTTTTTTTCTTCTGCTAACAAAAAAATAATAATTATATATTATTAATTGACATTTTTTTTCCTTTTTCATAGCCTTTCGAAATCCCTTAAAAGATTTTTTTTTTATCGATCGGAAAATTTCATTTTTCCCCTTTCCCTTCCCCCCACCTTCATTTTTTCCGGTTATTTAAAAATAATAATAATAATAATTGCTCTTTTTTTTTTTTTGTAAAACGAACGGAAAATTGTGTCATTGTGAAAAGGCTTCAATTATTTTTAATAAAAAAAAAAGAGAGAGAGAGAAAGAAGGAGTAAAGGGGGGGAGGGGAGTGAAACGTCTGGGAATGTTTTTACCCTTCTTTAAAGGATGTTTTAAAAAAAAAAGGGTTAAAAAGAAAAAAGGGTTAAAAAGAAAAAAGGATTAAAAGGGAAATAAAGAGAAAGAAGCGGAGAAAGGGGTTGTTTCCGGTTGAAAAGAAAAAAGAAAATCGAGTGGGAGTATTTCCGGTTGAAATGAGAAAGTGGGGGAAGTGAGGGGGGAGGGAATGACGTGTTAAATAGTGGAAGAAAGAGAGAAAGAGAGAGTAGAATTAACGACTCCCAAATGAATATTCAAAATGGTTTTTGTTTCTTTTCATATATATATATATATAATCGAAATTACAAAAAAAGGAAAAAAGTTTAACAATTATTATTGTTGTTATTATTATTATTATTAAATTTATTTATTTATTTAAAAACTTTCTTATTTAATGTATACATATATATATATATTTCCTTTTATTTATTTATTTATTAATATTTTAAATAATTTTCAAAGTTAATTAAGAAACATTTAATATGGAGTTTTTATGCTTTTTTAATTATTTTTAATTAATATTGTATATATATATTTTCTCTCTCTGTCTCTCTCTCTCTTTTAGTTTTTTTTCACATAATTAAAAATTTTTTATCTCTTTTTATGGAAAAGTTTTTTTGGAAAAGGATTCCAAAAAATGGAACAAAGTAATTAAAAAAAAAAATTTTTTTTCTAACAGAAGTTTCTATTGGATCCCCATGGTTTACTGGTAATGGTTGGTTGGCATTTCCGGCACTTCAAGCAGCTTATAAACACGTCCAGTTGGAAATGGAATTCAGACCAGAATCCTGGGATGGAATTCTTTTTTTAACTGGAGAAAGAGATGACATGACTGGAGATTTTATGTCTCTTCTTTTACATCAAGGATTTTTAGAATTTAGGTGACGACTATTAAAAAATTTTTTAAATATTTTTCTCTTGTTTTTTTTTAAAATCAAAATTGTTGTTTGTTTGTTTGGAGAAGGGAGCGGGGGGTGGGGGAATTCAATTCGCCATTTTTAATTTTAATTTTTTTTTTTAATCCAAAGATTCGATTGCGGATCTGGAGTTGGTGTCGTACGAAGTGAAGAAACGGTTAATTTAAACGAATGGAATAAATTAATTTTATACAGGCACAGATGGGATGCTTGGATTCAATTAAATAATGGAAAACACGTACAAGGAAGATCAAAAGTAATATTATTATTATTATTACTTTTTATCCTTTAATCGTTCAATATAAAAAATTTATTTATTTTTTTAAAAACAGGGTCTTTTTTCGAGAATAACATTTCGGGAACCGGTTTTTATCGGTGGACCTGGAAACACGACAGGATTATCGGATAAATTACCCACCGAATCAGGTTTTAAAGGTTGCATAAGATACCTGGATATAAACGATCACACGTATTCATTCGAACAATATCCAAATGGTGATGCGATAAAAGGTTTTGACGTCCGTAAGTTTTTCTTCTTCTTTTTTTTTTAATTAATTTAAACAAAACAAACAACGTGAGAATAAGATTAAGAAAAAAAAAAAAAAGGCTTTGAAAATGTTTTTGTAAAATAAGGAAAAGTTTTTAATGTTTCCGTTCACGTATTTTTAGTTTCCGGTTCTTTTTTTCTTCTATTGTTTGGTTAATTTAAAATTTAGAAAAGAAAAGAGAAAAAGAGATATGAACTATATATGGAATCTGTTGTGAAAAAGTTTTTGTTTTTTAGTTTGCGTTAATTTATTGTTTTCCGATATTTTCTTGTTTACCGAACAAAAAATTATTATTATTATTATTATTATTACTTTGTTATGGTTTTACGAATAATAAAAAACTTTATAAAAAAAAAAAAGAAAAGGTTCAGTTTTTTTTTGGCTTTGTTTCAGTTGAATGTACTTCTGATAAATGCAGCGAAGTCCCTTGCCAACATAGTGGAAAGTGCCTCTTATCTGGAGAAGAAGCCATTTGTTTGTGTCCGTTAGGATTTACTGGAGATTTGTGCCAAACAAGAGTCGATCTTCAAGTAATTTATATATATTTTAATTTCAAATATTCAAATCTTAAAAAAAAAAATTTTTTTTTAATCGAAAATAATAATTAATCAGGTACCAGCATTTAACGGATCCAGTTATTTGAGATATCCAGGATTGGGAAATTCAGTTTTATCATGGTTGGATATTGAAATGACCCTTAAACCAACTTCAAAAGATGGCGTCATATTATATAACGGTCATAGAACTGATGGAGTTGGTGATTTCATGGCTATAAGTATACACGGAGGACATTTTGAATTTACATTTGATCTCGGTACTGGAGCTGCAAGTGTCAGGTACGTAAACATTTTTTTAAAAATTTTTTTTCGGGAAGAAAAAGAAGAAAATTGTGGGAAATTTTTATCGCAGAATAGAAAAACCGGTCACGATGGGAGAATGGCACGAATTACGACTTTCGAGAACTGGAAGATTTGCAATATTACAAGTAGATGATCAGGCTCCGGTTCACGCATTGGCTCCAGGAGCTTTCACTCAATTATCGCTCCCCCAAAATCTTTACATCGGAGGAATTCCAAACGTCGATATGGTTTCTCCAAAAGTCAAAATTAAAACGTCATTCGTCGGTTGCATTCAAAAAGTATTTTACGTTGCCATAAAAATATTTTTTCCTATATCGTCTTTTAATAAAATTTATTAAATTAATTTTTTTATTTCAATTTAAAAACAGGTCGTTATCAACGATAAACCGATAAAAATTTTAGCAGAAGCTCTAGCAGGTGTAAACGTAGCCAATTGCCCACATCCGTGCGTGACGCAACCCTGCGGTGCTGGAAAATGCGTACCCATTTTGGAATATTTTACATGCGAATGTGCGGAAGGTTACACGGATAAAGAATGTCAAGAACATGAAATTCCAGCAATGCTGGATAATATAGCGATCCCTCGTTTCACTGGATCGAGTTATTTACATTACAGTAATCCTAATATATTAAAAAAGTAATATGAAAAACAAATTAATTATTATTATTATTATTGTTTATAAAGCTGGACAAAAAAGAAAATTTTTTTAATTTTTACAGAATAGTAAGCAATGAAATGAAATTTACCGTAAGATTTAATACAAAAGTCGAAAACGGCCTCATTTTATGGATAGGAGACCAAGACTCGAGAGGAGACCACAGAAGCGATTTTCTTCTTCTCGGTTTATCCGGAGGAGAATTACATTTTAGATTTAATTTGGGAGGAGGAGAAGTTGATATTTCATACAATGAAACTTCCCTTTCCGACGGTGAATGGCATGAGGTTACCGTGAGGAGAACGGGGAAAAGAGGAGAATTAATTGTGGATGGTATGACACCGATCGTTCGAACCGTCCCTGGAAAACTCACACAGCTCAATACCAACACTGGATTATATGTTGGTGAGTTTAAAACCCTATCAAACACAAAAATAATAATAATAATACATGAAACGTCTTCTATCCTTTTTCTTGTAGGTGGAATAGATAATTTAAAAGAAGACATTATAAATAAATACACCAGCGGCCTTGTAGGATGCATTTCGAGGTTGGTGCTGGACACCGATTATGACGTTAAATTAATGGCAATGTCAACAGCTGGAAGAAATGTACAACATTGTAATTAAATAATAATAATAATGATAATAATAATAATAATATTTCAACGATTAAACGTCTTATGTATTTAAAAATGTGTTGATAAATATTGTCAATTTCGATGGGTATACGCATACGAGTACGACACAATAAAAAAACTTGTCGTGGAATTAACGAAGTGGCAGAAAACAAAAAGTGGTTTCCTTTATTTATTTATTTATTTA